TGGAGAGGTGATGGCAAAGTTAGTGAGATCCAGTTTGTAGAGGTCTTGGGTAACTTGTAAATATTTTGTACTCTTTATGTATCAATTTTTTAACGCCATGGTGATGTATAGTTTTTAGAGATATTAAGGAAGTACTAACCCAAATGTGGAGGCTGATCAGCTGGGGCAAGACTGTTAGTCAGTCTTCATTGTCAAGGATTTAAGAATATAATAAAATCCAAATACCGACAGCTTTATAAAATTGTCCTGCCTGAGAAGTTGATGTAGCCCAGCCCAACAACTTAAAAGTAGTAGGAGTAAACGACTTGAGTCTAAACCCAAAATCCTTCACTCACTTGCTTTGAAACATCTTGGTCTAGTTTCAGTCACTGTGCTGCAAAGTAAGAATAAAGAAAACATCCAATTATCAGACTTGCTTTGAGAACTAAGTTAGATTGGCATAATCTTTCAAAACAATATCTGGTTCATCACAAGTACTTGATGACTCTGGCTAGTGTCAATTATTTTTTTTATCCAAATTAAAATTAGCTTTGGAAGTATATCATAAACAATAATGTTGTACATGTTAAAATATGCACTTTTAAGAACAATGTATAATCATTATTTAATCATTTAATCATGCTTGCATTGTGATGAGATCCTTTCACTTACTTGAAGGGAAAATTGAATCATGAAATTCCATTCCTCAAAAAGGAGGAAATTGAAAATAAAATGTCCAGCTTATTTTTAGAAGGCAGAAAGAGGAAGCATGATAAAGATGCAAATATGGGTGATCAAACCAAAGTGCAGGGAAAAACACAGACAATGGTCTCATGTTCAGCCTTTTACTTGGCCAGCTTTTATTTCCAAGATGGATATTTTTAACTTGGTTGTGAAATCAGACAGGGGAGTTAGATATGATTTATTAAATCGTTTCATCAGTGTCATTTAAAATTCAATCAGCTATGTATCCACACAAGGATGCTGGACTGGGTCAGTGTGTCCTAACAAAATCAATGACTATGTTGACAGTGATCCTCTAGCACAGGTGTGTGCTTTAAATGAGGACAGAGAAATCAGTTGTGCACACAGAGCTAGAGGGCAGGGATGTGATTCCTGAGGGGGGGCAGGGGGGAGGGGAGGTCACGCTCCTCCTCCTATGCTTACCTTCCTGCCTCTGGTGCTTCATGAATACTTAATGGAAATAGGAATGATCACACAACTCTTTGAAATTGAAGTATGTTAAATTTCAACCCCAAACAAAAAGATGAAAACCAACCAGGCACTGGTTCAAAGACTCTACCTCAGACAATTAACACAGCTGTAGGCAGTCTTGCTTATTCCAGAATGGGAAATAGAAGCCCTGGAAGGGGGGTTCAAGTCATAAGCTTTGGAAATAATATCACCCTAGATAGAGAACATATGCTAATCACACTTTAATCTTTTCAAGTCTTTTCAGCTGATCTGGGCCCTGAATAAAAATATTAAGGACAAGGAATAAATTCTGGTTCAACAGAGTTGTCACTTTCATGTTCACAGACTCTGCCTGCTCTGTAGCAAAACCGTTGTTTTTTATTTTACTTTTTTTTTTCCTTTGGGTCGGTCCTGGGGCTTGAACTCTGGGCCTGGGCACTGTCCCTGAGCTCTTCAGCTCAAGGCAAGCGCTCTACCGCTTGAGCCACAGCGCCACTTCCAAAACAGTTGTTTCTAATACCCCTTCTAATGTGGGCATTTTAATGAGGGAATGGCAGCTCCCTGTGGAAAGCCATTCTTCAGTACAGAACATAGACCTTTTTCAACCCTTCTGCTTATAAAAGTGCTCCACCGTGGACACCTTCATCTTTCCAGCCATCACGGCAGCCTGCAGCTTGTACCCACTGTACCATTAGCTCCTATCTTTTCCAACTCCCCTTTCCCTTGGAGACATTCCAAGCTTAACATGAGTTCATTTTCAGAACCAAGCTTCAAATTCAGGCCCATGTTACAGCCCTTCTCATACAAATGGCCCAGGTGGGTGCACAATGGATAAAGTGTCTTGAGAGACCACTTCCCTTGTAATATTTTTTCTTTCCTCAACTTTTGTCCCTGAACTCCTAGCTGGCCAGTAATCTTTTAGAGGAAAGGTTGATTTGGCTCACAGGAGTCAATTTCCTTCCCCAAATTACACCCTTTCTTTGTTTAAATATGTACTATTTGATAGTAATTTTCACTTTCAGAATTCTCTAGTCTTTTTTTCCTTTTTGTCTTTAAGTCCCTTTATTTCTTTCTTTGTCTTTCTCTCTGTCTCTCTGTCTCTCTCCATTCCAATGGGTTGTGAAATATACTATGAGTTGTGATTCTAGATGAAACATTTGACTAGATAAGCACTCAGAATTTTCCAGATTCAAACAAAGTCTATCTTTATAGGGACAGACTCCATCATGGGAATTTACAAAAATACTTCTTTGAATTATATATTGTAAGTATTGTAAATGTAAACAAGCATCTGAATTCTGCAGAGAAAACCATTGAGAAGAGAAATTCTGTGTGTAACACAACAAAATAAATATTCCAAATTGTTCTTACTAAAAACCAGTAGTTTTATATGTACACTAAAAAAATAAAAAATAAAAAGGAATCTAGGGTTTAGCTCCCTCTGAGATAATGATTTCTCTCTTCCCTGGAACCACTTTTTATGTTCTAAGTAAAGATTTACTTCGCAAATAATCAGCAGGAACAACTTAAGTGCCAAGTGAATCCTTTTAGCGATACTGTTGATAGCCAAATTAAGATGACTATAAATCTACTAGAAAGTGAAGCATCAGTGATTTGTTGTGTACAAGATTTGAGATTTACACTCCTCATTAAACTATGAACATATTTTAAATGGGCCTTTCTATACCCTAAAGGGTGATTTGATTTAAGTGACTAAAAATACCTCACCCTGGGTGTGGTGGCTCACACCTATAATCTTAGCTACTCAGGAGGCTGAGATCTGAGGATTCTGGTTCAAAGCCAGCCTGGGCAGGAAAGTCCATGAGTCTAATCTCCAATTAACCACTAGAAAACTGGAAGTAGTACTGTTGTTCAAAGTGGTAGAGTACTAAACTTGAGATGAAGAGCTCAGGGACAGCACCCAGACCCAGAGTTCAAGCCCCACAACTAACAAAAGAAAAAAAAAATAGGGCTGGGAAGGTGACTCAGTGGTAGAGTGTTTGCCTTACATGCATGAGGCTCTGGATTCGATTCCTCAGCACCACATAAGCAGAAGAAAAAAAAAAAAAGCCAGAAGTGGTGCTGTGGCTCAAGTGATAGAATGCTAGCCTTGAGCTGAAGAGCTGAGGGACAGTGCCCAGGCCCAGAGTTCAAGCCCCACAACCAACAAAAGTAAAGAAAAAAAGAAAACCTTTTAAACACACAGCCCCTTCACATCCATTCTTTCTCCTTTTTCTTAAGCATTATTACAGCCTGAGTAGGAACTGGAAAATACTAACAGTGAGGATTGCACCATAATAATATATGTTGTAATGAGAGAAGCAGCCATGCAGAATTGCCATAGAAAATGCAGATGAAAGCTTAAGTTTCTGCGGAAATTAGGCCCCCTGCTCATATGCAATTATTTTAAAGAACTCCCCTTGCTTCTGAGCACTCTTGCCTTACCATAAGTTTGCTATTTAGTAAATGGATTGACATTATCACATTGATGGGATAAAAGGCTTGCTGAGATCTATTATCACTGTTATATACATACTTCTTTCCCTTCTGCCAGTTGATAAGGAAATTGTCTGGGCACCTTTGTGATTCTGTCGGGGCTGAGTTGATCTATGGCTTTCTCTAGCTGTAGTACTCATTTGTATCTCTGCATTGTCAACCTATCATCTATCTACAGACTATCTTTTGATAGTCTGTACAATTCCATGGGAGTCAATCTAAATTCTGTACATAGATCTTCCCTGCATTTATCACTGCTCTCTCAGACCTGCCTTCTCTTCTATTCTCTGCTTCTCTCAAGAGCCTGAACTAATCAGGGCCTCTACCAAGCTGCACTGGTTAAGAACATTTGATTTTGAAAAAAGAAAATGCTTCTTTATTGTGACATATTCTCCTAGAACTATGTTCTTTTTACTCTACTAATAACATTATTTCCACAAAGATGCTACCTGACTGTCAATGACTTAGTGGATCTCTGGGCTTACAATATCTTAATGTTCGTTTGATTTGAGTCCACATAGTATTACAACCAGAAGAGTTCCCAGTTGTCCCAATTTTCATATCTTATTAAAGTGAAGGTCATTTTTGGAGGAAAGGACACTTCAGTACCTCTGAAAAACTTAAATCACATCTAAAATAATTTCCATGAAATTCACAAGTCACATCCAATGCCATGCTAGAAAAACTCCCAAGGGATGGTTTGCAGGAATTTGGTGGCACCTTTAGGACGGCATGTTTGCTGTTCTCTGTCTACTACCTGCAACTGACAAAAGAACTTAGAGTCCAGATGTAGGACCTTCCCTCTTTCTGGTGCACACCAAGGTATAAAGTCAGCATCAAATGGCAGTATATTTAGTGACAGATTTCGAGGTGTGTCTAAGATTCAGGGAGATTCCATCTGTCCCAAATTGTCAGCAGGCAGGCAAAGGATTTCTCTAGTTTTAGGGAGGGAGCCATATCTTTGCTGAAGAGTTCTAGAATTTATTTTAGAACTCTGTATTTTTCTTAAGTATATTGTTACTGCTACTCTTTCTACCTTAAATTAGAAGTGTGTGTTCATTATCAAACTCATGACTTCAAGAATGGAATGAATATAGGGTATCTGTATGCTTTGAGAGTCTATTACTTATATTTTATGTACAAATATTCTGAAAATCATGAATGTTTCTGTAAATCATAATGATTTACAAAATATTAAATGATAAGTGACACTTTCTACTTTTATTCAATTAAATATGAATAACTAAGGTTTATTTTACAAGTTACCTTGTATGTTTATAACACTTTAATACTGAACACTTATAAATTTGTTGGATTTTTTACCCTTTCAGGTGGAAGAGGCCCTGGAAGCTGTGAAAAATGCTACCAATGAGCAAGACCTTGCAAACCGCTTTAAGGAATTTGGAAAAGAGATGGTGAAACTTAACTATGTAGCCGCAAGAAGACAACAGGTAAGGAAGGCTGTAGAAATACTGTGGTGGTGAATGTAAGTAAGAGGTCACTTGCATCTTCCTGGCTATCAAATACCTTAGGAATCCGGGATCTCAAAGACTGCATCCTGCCTGGGCCAGTTGGAATACTGGATAATCTCTGGTCCTGTCTTTTATGACTTGCAGAGACCACCTGTTTTTATTGATGAGAATTGTCTACCAGCCCCACCACACTCTTTCTGTCCACTGTAGGAAAAGCTCAGAGGCAACTAAAAACAAACTGTAATGAGATGTTATGGTTACGCTCAGTTAGCACTGCTTAGAATCAGGTTTTATCTCCTAGTCTTTGGGGTACCCCTTTTCATATATGTATGCCTAGATTGGGAGGAATGTAAAGGGTAATTTTATAAATATGAGAGGAAGAGTGCAGGGAAAATAAGGCAACAGAGAGGGGAGGGAAGGAGGAAAGAAGGTGAAGAATGGGCCCACTGGGGAATGTGATTCAGTATTCCCATGAAAACTACTGATCTCCCATTCCCTCTGCCTTTACTTTGCCTAGAGATCCTATCCTGCATTTAAAACAATTTTATCATTGGATGCCATTAGAATTGTGTTCACACAATTTTTCAAAAAGCACTTCCAAATGTGTAAAGGCTTGTTGAAATTATTTTCACCCATCCTTTTGACTGTCTTCCAGAATTCTTTAACATTGATGACGGTTCTCATTAAATCTTCATCAACAGGAAAGTTCCATTCAGTAAACATTTGTTTTATGTTCACTCTGTGCCAGGATGAGGAGATGCTCGGATTACAAACTAGACTACGATATAGTCCTTTTTGTGCCAAGTGTGATTTTAGTGTATATGATTTTTTTTTTTAATCCATCATGGGTCTTAAACTCTGGGCCCAGACATTGTCCCTGAGTTCTTCAGCTCAAGGTGAGCTCTCTACCACTGATGCCACAGTGCCACTTCCAGTTTTCTAGTGGTTAATTGGAGATAAGAGTTTCATGGACTTGCCTGCCCCAGCTGGCTTTGAACTGTGATCCTCAGCTCTCAGCCTCCTAAGTAGCTAGAATTACACGTGTGAGCCATCAGTGCAGAGCAAATGGTTTAAATTGCTTTTATCAGCAGCAGTCTTGTCAAAAGGAATCTAGTGTGATGGGCCTTATGGTAATATAAATAGGAACAGAGTTGCTCTGAGCACAGTGGAAGGCCTGGAAATTGTTTAGTTGAAGCAACTGAAAGGCAGGACCTCTTCTCCATGAACCAAACAAGAGGTTAGGATGAGAGGCAGGGGCCCCGGCTATTCATTCTCACAGGATATTTGGAACCTCTTGTTAAGTGTATGATTCAAAGTTCAAAGTCTAGATGTCAGCTTTATGTTGAAGTATTATTTTAGATAGGTTGCACCGAAAGGGCATGGTGTGGCAGAGGGGAGGAGAAACTAGGGGAAGAAGCTGATGAGATCTAGGGGACAGACAGGGGCGATCTCCATCCCCTTGGTAACAACAAAGGTGGCAGAAAGCATGCAGTAAAAGTACATTGTAAAAATGGAGCACAGAGACGCTGCCACATTGAATGGGTGAGTCAAGAGAGCAGACAGCAACTAGATTGTTCCAAGGTTGGAGTCTGAGTGAATGGGAGAAGATGGTGGGTCCACTGAGAAGATGGTAGGTCAACTGACAGTGTTGAATTCCTGTCTGAAATCAGTATGTCATACTTAAACGCATTGATTGTGAGATTGTTACATACAATCTCATTTCATATACGATGAGACTGCAAATAGAAAAGTTGTGTTGGTGAGGGATCAAAATAGGTAGTTGGCATTCAATCCATGAGAGTATGGGATATACATATGCAAAATACGTAAATAAACTTTTTATTTCTTTAATACTTTGTCTCCAATTAATTTGGAAAAGAATGGAAAAGAATTTGGTAAGAAATTAAATAGAGAAAATGAGTAATTGTCCTCTTATCCTGTCAGCCACATACACACACAAAAAACTAATGCTCATTTGTGATATTATCTTCCAGTTTTTTGTCCCCATAGTTTAACATATTTATAGTACTATGCATATGAATATGCAAATTGTGTCTTTTTAATTGTTTTTTTTAATTTTTTAATTGTTATTATAATCCCCTATTATGCTCATGTCATTTTATTTTTCCTGAAAATGCCTTCGTGTAAACTTCACCTGTTTTCTGTGTTTTGCCTGTGCAGGAGTTGAAGGACCCTCACTGTAGAGATGAGATGGCGGCTGCCCGCGGGGCCCTGAAGAAGAATGCCACAATGCTGTACACAGCCTCGCAAGCCTTTCTGCGACACCCAGATGTCGCTGCCACAAGAGCCAACCGAGATTACGTGTTCAAACAAGTCCAGGAGGCCATCGCTGGCATTTCCAATGCCGCTCAAGCTACCTCGCCCACAGACGAAGCCAAGGGCCACACGGGTATTGGCGAGCTGGCTGCAGCCCTGAACGAGTTTGATGTAAGCATGGCGATGTTTTCGGAACCTATGCATTTACACAGGGAAAACAGTGTAATGAAAGTAGAAAAGGACACCACATAGAATATATTCTGATTTTCTCTTATCGGAAAATTTTAACAGTAAGATAAACTAAATATGTTCTTGTAATTAGGAGTTGAAAATATTGCTAGTGCTATTTACTTGTCTTTGAAGATAACCATGGTTAGGAAGGTCTGATCATTTTTAGTTAGATCACAGTTCGTCCTTGAGATGAGCAACTTCATTGTTAAGATACACATGCTACAGGCAGACAGAGATGGAGCACAGCTATGTTGTGCCTGGGTGAGAAACTATCTTCTGGATCTCCACTTTAAACCAGTGATATGCAACTATGTTTTTCATGTGACCCAGTTTGGGAATCTGGTCTTCCTTGGTATGGCCGTTCTCAGGAGGGACGGTGACAATGCTTGAGACACTCATCTGCTGTCTGGTGGTTTGTCACAGTGAGGGATACAGCAAGATGGTAGCTCACTGTGACTCTGCCAGCTGCCAAGTCACCCAAGTGAGTGAGTAGTCACACATCATCAACTGCCCAGAGCAGTGGTCCTCACTTCCCCAGGTCCAGAAATGGGTCCCTCTGTGGATTCATTTATTCTGATCCATGGGAGCCTATATGTGTTGTGAGAGGTACAAAGGTTTATAAATAATCGGTATCTGCTTTCAAGGCTAAATCCTCCTCCTGGGAAACTGAATGCATTGAGCACCACTTAAGACATAAAACATAATTCTTAGGACACAAAGTAAGTTATTTAATGGCTGCAGAGAAAAATTTTTTGCCTGCCTTTGGATATGTTGACAATTTTTGGCAGGGAATGACTAGTTGGCTGCTAGAAAAGAGGATCCAGAGCAACACAATTGCTCAAGGCATAGACTGGATGGTATAACTCGAGAATAATGATCACATTTTATATCCAGAGAGTTCTTTGCAGTGTCAACAGAGGTCTCTTGTCTTTCTCTAATGTAGTCATTATGTATGCGTTTGTGTGTGTGTGTGTGTGTGTGTGTGTGTGCATATGTGTGTGTGTGTGTGCATTTCTCTCTTTGAACTCAGGCTTAATGCTGTTTTTCAGGTTTTTTATAGAGATTAAATTTTATTTTTAAAACTTTTATTAAAAAATTGGGATTTAATGTTATGTAATTGCATCTACATTCGAAAGGGTAACTGTCAACCCATAAAAAATAGTGAGAGACATGAATTATTCTGCATTTCCCATAATGCAGAATAATAGACTAAAGAACAAGTATACATTTATTAGCTTTGCCTCATGACTTACTTTAATTTCTTATGTAAGCTAGAAGTTCAGTGTAGATGTGAAAGACATAAAAGTAGAAATACATTAGTTGGTATTTTATTCCTTTAGTAAATAATATTGTGGCAGCCTTTTTTATAATGTACAGGAAATACTAATTACAATTCTGGGAATTGTTTTAGAACTCAATAAAAGATTGTTTTTTTCAGGAATGAAAAATGAATGAAACCCTATTTTAAGGGTAAAATGAGCAGTTTAGTGCCTGTGATGCTAAAATACTATACTACATTGGTACAGTCATTTTTAAAATACACATTAAAACAAAGTGACTCACTTAACAAAGCAATACAAAATTACAAAAAAAATCTCAAATGCAAAATTACTTTTTAGTAGTGCGTTGCAAATATCAGAATTGTGTATTATTTAGGTACATTGTGACATACTTGCGCTTCTATGCTTATAATTTTTGTTTATAATCAAATGGTAAACAACAAATCAGAGGAGAAATGGAGCAGCTTGGTAGGTAGCTCGAGGTCAGACAGACAGACCTTCAGTGACCTTCTCTGCTCAGGCCATCAGGCTCCAATTCCTATTTTTCACTTTGTCTCCAGACCTTTTTTACTACCAGGAGTTATTTTCTACAGCAAATTTTAACAAGTGAATCATCGCTGTGAGATTGCCAAAGGCTTTTGATTCATAAAAGCTAACTTAAGGTCATCTGAGAAAAATCGAGTAGCCAGCAATGTCAGCATGATGACCTTAGAACACCATCCTGTTACCACAGTGATATCTTCATGCTATATAAAACAGGTTTTGGGAAAAGAACACATGAATGTAGTTAATTCATAAAGTAATTGCATAAATTACTTCATACATTATAAAATTAATAGATGACTTAATGAGATTAACTAACGCACTAAATTTATTTTTACTTATTCCACACACTAATATTAACTAATATTATGTTAATTAAATATTTATAATATAAATAAAACAATTATATTAGCTCAGTATATGAACTAGTATTTTATTATCAAATATTGTTGATTTGCTATCTAGGTAAAGTGTGTCACATAGTATATATTACAGATTATTAAAAACGTGGAACTGTCTGAGTCGTAATTCAGAGACAGTAATTCTGATGGTTTCAATTTCTTAAGAATTTTCAGTTAATGAATACAATTTAATTTCATGACTTTCTCAAAAGTAGTCATGCCAGTAGGCTATTTAATTGATAACAAACAACATAATTAACTACTTTAGGTTTCTTTCTGATATCATAAACCTAGATTTCCTCAGAGGTAGAAATCTTCCATTAAAACTAATATGCCACTTCTCTTTATGGAAGAATTATATTTTTTTCTTATAGTTGAATGATTAATTTGGGTATCTTTATTTTCAAGGAATGCTATCTTAAAATTGATTTACAATTCACAGACATCTATGTTATCTTAAATCCCACTTTCAAATTATATTAGTTTTTGTTATTATAACAAAATACTCAAGATAATGAGGTCAGAAAGAGGAATGGTTTCTTTTCCTTACAGTTTCAGAGGCTTCAGTCTATATATATTTTTTTTTTTTTGTCGGTGGTGGGGCTTGAACTCTGGGCCTGGGCGCTGTCCCTCAGCTCTTCAGCTCAAGGCGAGCGCTCTACCACTTGAGCTACAGCGCCACTTCCGGTTTTCTGGTGATTTATTGGAGATAGGAGTCTCACGGTCTCTCCTGCCCGGGCTGACTTTGAACCGTGATCCTCAGATCTCAGCCTCCTGAGTAGCTAGGATTACAGGAGTGAGCCACCAGCGCCGGGCTCAGAGGCTTCAGTCTATTGTAGGGAATCTATTGCTTTTGTGTCTGGGATCGACAGACCACTGAATAGGCGATACTGCTTGTCTCGTCCTACCTAGGAAATAAAAAAATAATATGTATATTTTAAACAGAAAGAAGGGGAAAAGTTCTCAGTATCCCCTTTAAGGAATTTCCTGATATGACCAGAAACTTTCCAACTAGGACAACTTCTGACAAGTTCCACTAGCTCCCAAGATCATTACAGGATAGGGACCAGATTTTAACCCATGCCCTCTGTGGCATAGTTATCCAAACCTTATCACAAATCATCAAACAAATTGACATTACGTTGAGTGGAAAAATTCAATCTTCTTGTTATTAACTGTTGTTTTAACTGTGCTAGGGTTTGAATTCTTAGAATGGAATTTGCTCAGTTCAAGCTTTAACATTTGTACCATGTCTGTAGTCTGGCATTTTGCTTGTAAATTGGGGATAAAGTCTCTCAGACTTTTCTGCCCAGGGTCTCTTGGAACCTCAGTCCTGTAGATATTAGTCTCCTGAGTAGCTAAGCCTACAAGATGTCACCAACAGTTACCTGGCTTTCTCACTAACTTTGCTATCAATATTCCTTGTTGATTCTTACTTGCATGTCAATGTTTTTGCAATGTCTATAGAAAAAAATGTCTTTGTATCACTGAGGTAAAGGAAGTATGTATTTTACACAAAGGTAAAATAATATATTTTCATAGCATAGCCATCAGATCCTGAAAATGAATTTGAAACTCACTTCATCTAAGCAGCTATGGAGATGTCAGTCTCATTTGCTGGGGTATAGATTTGGCTTTGACTTTAATAGTCAATTCGAGCAAGGTAAAAATTAGTAGTTTCACATTTAGCTGTCTAAAGCCACAGGATTGATTTTTAACTGGGTAGTTATAATTGCAGCTCAATGCTTGGTGCCCTATTTTTGTACCTATGTGAATAGTCAGTGTACTGATTAATGAAGCAAAAGAATGAGGGGGAAAGGCATTTAACAATTTGAAACTGTCAAGAGAGTCTTTAATGGTAGAACGGGAAAAAAAAGCAAAATGACTGCTAATCAATGGGAAAAAGCACTCTTGTTTGAAATGTGGCAATGTGGAGTAGTTAATTCTACCTAGTGAATCTATCTTCCAGATAATGCTGCAAAGATTAAAATAATAATAATAATAATCACTTCTCAGAAGCAAGTCATATTATAATGTCAACTGGGACTTCTAGAAAAGTTTCTACTGTGAGAGGAATATTTAAAGTTCTTCCCAGACTTTCCTTTATTTGAGAAAAGAGAACACCCTAGATCTTGATTTTGTAGGTAATGAAGCTGTTGTGGCAAAAGTAAATGGACACAAGTCCAGACTTGAACTTTCTAAGCCTTATAAAATTAAAAGTGACATTATTCCTGACCCTGTCTCATGATCTAAAACAACAAGCAAGATCTAGAATTCCTTGTGCTTCCACTTTTGACCCTTGACTGCTTGCTGAGGCCCCACTACCCCTAGGACCTTGTTTCATTGGTACTTATCTTTTTCTCACATTCTGGGTTTCTGATCATCTGATCCATCCTACTTGTCTGTGCCTACTGCACTCCTATTCCATAACATAAAATAAGAGGAAACTAGTTAAGTGACTTCTCATACTCTCATACTTTCGCTCTTTTTAGTATCTGAAACATTCTGTAAAGAGTCTTTTTCTTCCTTCTCTTGGCTAATCACAACATGGGCATCCACTCTGTTCCTACCCCACACTGTGCTACATGTCAATGTTTGCCCCATGGTCTCAGGAAACTTACACAAGAAATCTAACACCTTTACTTCCCAGTTTTCAACTGCTTCCTATTGTATTCACTATGATCACATCTCTCTACTCTGTTTTACTATCGCTGTC